AATATTTGTCACTGAAATATTTTGTAGCAATTCCTGTTTATCCAATGTTGGATTTTGACATAGCTGCAAGATGTAAATGTGGACAGACACACAATAAGCTATGAACTAAATTATGGGTTTGTTGATGCCCATCTATTAGTTTAGTTTTTTGTTTTCTGTGCCGTGCTCAATTATTGATTTAAGTCAGAACTGTGCAAGTAAATCAGTCTCAGAACATCAAACTGTACATGAAATGAAAACGCTTGTTATCGCTTGAGCTATTTGTCTGGAGGCCTGTCGACATGAGTGAGATGGTTTTAGTCAGCCCCCTATTTAAGAGGCTCCCTGTGGCTGTGTCCGTCTGAAACATGTCAGTCATGCCGATGAATGGGAGGTGACATTTTCTCTTGTCTGTAATAAGAAACCCCCGGAGTGGAATGATACTCCAGGTTTATGAGTAACAACATTTTGTAATTCTGCTTCTCTGTTGATTTTATGCTTTATTTTTTCCGATCGTTTGTCCTTAAAGCAAGTAATTTATTTATGAGTTCAGTTTGTGCTTCTATTATTCTGGCTTTGATGTCCATCTTTTTAGATTTATTACACAAATCTTTTTTATTTGCTCACTTTGACTTTTGTCCTTTACTCTCATGTCGAATAACAATTTTTTATAAACACATTTTGAGCTCAACTTGCAAAATTGTAGACATGTTTACATTTGTAATTTCAACTCCACGCATAGATTTGATGTATTAAACAAGAAAAGTAGTCAACACGAGAGATGATAGTGATAAATAACACAGAGATACACTCTGTCAATCTGCCGGCTTTTTTAGAGTGTACTTCACCTTTTGTTGGTTGACTGCTGGGATGGACTTGCCCCCCTGACTGAAGAGGACAGAGAGTGTGTACTGAAAATAAATGAACAAGGAATTAAAGAAAATAATCACAACCAACTAAAGCTCACATTAATAGGCTATTAGCGACAAGTCAAATGTTTCAGCCAATTTATTTCTGAAATGTTGAAGGAATTTAAGAAACACAACTTTAACCTTTTATTGTTGGATAAAACAAGTGAGAGAAGACTGAAATAATTTAGTCTCCAGACAAGAGATGAATAATCATCCAAATGGCTTGCTTCCAGAATAGCAATGTCAAAATAACACTTAACCACTTTGATTGTCGACATCCAACACATTCAACCCTGTTTACTTTCTTGATTTGTAGAGTAATCATTTCAGTGATAAATTAATGGCATATATGGCCCACAGTCTGTGAATTTGCTTGGCCGTTCGCATCTATGATAGTGACTGTGTTCAGGGCAGTTCCCTACAACAGCTGAACAAATGCTGCTGTGAACACCATCTGCTTAGTGAAGAGCAAACTGAAAAAGTCACAATCTGTTTCCTGGAGCATGAATCATTGACAGTGTTTACTGTGTCAATGTGGGCATGTGAAGAATCCATCTAATTGGTTGTGATTAATACATTTATATTTTTTTACCAACAAAACAAAAATAGACAGATTCGAAAAGATTGCTAGCAGCTAAATTGTTTTTTATTAATTATTTAGTCACATATTTGAAGTATCTGTAAAATAATTGAGAAGCAATTGCTTTTCAGCCAACTCATCAAGTTTGGACTTTAGTGTAAAAATAGGAGGTTGGATATTCCTATCAACTTCTGTTACCTGTAAAGGCTTGGATATGAGAGGCCAAAACACAATCATCAGGACTGGTGGGGTGTCTGAGGAACAGAGAAATATTCTGATACTGATGTACAAATTTACATCAGGTTAACGAGCCATAAGAAAGATATATTGAAGGTCATCAGTTCAGAAAAGAGGTGACCTACAGAAAGTAGCAGTATGATTTTAGAGGATAAAAATGTAATATTTTCTTTGAGATATAACTGGGAATAGAAAGGACAACAAAAGAATTTATAATGTGTTTGTGTTTTCAGCAACATTATCTGAGAATTTGGCATAAGATCCACTCAAGTCTCTTTTAGTCCAAGTGTTGAACTGTATGCCAATGAGATTCTGATCTATTGTAACCGCAGGGATTAGAAAATAAGAGCCATTACTGATAGAAATATGGATGGAAAATGAGTAAAATTCAGACAAACCAAACAACATTTGGTTAGTTGGTTCGAATGAATGAGGGAGAGACAGGTAAATTAACAGATTTTAAGTGCCTTTGCTCAACAATTCAAAACCAGTGCAGTGACAATGTATAGGAAGGGTGAAGTGGAGGTAAGCAATTGTCAGGGATGATTTGTGTCAGAAGGATAACAATAGGTGTGAAAGAAATGGTGAAAGGGAAAGTTAGCAGTGAGTCCTGCTGTGATGTATGAGTTAGAAATTGTGGCACCGACAAAAAGGCGGGGGCAAAGCCAGATGTCGCAGGGTGACATTTTCTTTGTCAGTGGCTGAAATGAACAGAATAAGGAATGTTTTCCAGGTGGATAGTTCAGATTTTGAGACAAAGTTAGTAAGGTAATGCTGTTATGGTTTGGACCAGGGGCAGAGCGTCAGGGGGTTGTAGGGTTGTGGGGGGAACGGTGGGACCCCGGCCCGGGCCGAGGGGGAGCCCGGATGGGAGGCAGAATATGACTTCAGTCATCTGACCCTTTATTACGTCTGATGAGAGCTGGAGAAAGCGGCTCTATACTGTTGAGTATGATGTATGTAGAATTGTGTAGTGTAAACTTTACAAGATCGACTGATTTTTGTGACATGGTGGGTGTAAAATATTGAATAAAATGTTGTGTTACCTGACTGGCTTTGTTTACATTTAACTTCATGACATAAAAAATTACAAGAGGATCATCCATATTGTCTCCAAGTGTATTCTGGGTAAAGCTTGTCACCAGCCAACCACTAAAGTCATCATCAGTCGCTTGGCAACAGATGGCAAACAAGCTGGGGCATTTTTACGCACTAAGTCAACATGGGTGGAGCTCCATGGAGCGACAAAGTGAAAAGGATGGAAAAAATGGAGCAAGGAAAAGAAAAAACCTGGATGCTTATTTTGTTCCTGTGTTCCTGTCTTGGAGATGAACTGGACTTTTTTGTTGGCAGCGATTCAGACTCACCAAAACTGCCAACCCAGCAAAGGAGCTGGATTAGTTACAGGCAGCAACTCTGACATTATTCACAAAGTGTGAGTTAACTGTAGACTGATTGCAAATTTTATAGCCCAGCTGCCAAGCTTACACCTCTTTTTTCTCTGTCGGTGGTACAGCGGTGATGTCAGGGACTGAAGGCTGAGTTATAGTCGCTTTCGGGTTTAGCGCATTTTTGAGCCCAGGCAGCAGTATGGCGTTTATAGTTAAGGTTTACATTGGAGCCGCCTGAAAGAGCATCTTCCAAATCGTCCAGTTTGCCCCCCAAAACAGTCAAAACTCATAGGTGGAGTGCAAAATTAAACTTTACCAATAAAGAAACAAATAGCTTCCAAAGTAGTTGTTCCATTTTGTATTTAGTATTATCTTTGAATCAATTATTAACAACAGTTTTATTCATCTGTATTTCACATAAATTAGTCCATCTTAGACAGGAAACAACCATTTATTAATTACAATATAAATGTCTAAATGCAAACTACAGTGGACCATCCCGTAGCCCTGAGCAGAATCCTTATCTGGTAGATGACCACAACAACTTTTACCCCAGGTTTGAAAAGCAGCCGTTCACACCTCCCACATTATCCACATCTCACTCTGACACGAAAGCTCCCCATGCACCAGCCATTCTTCTCTCCTCAGACCACCTGCCTGGATATATGATCTCTTCAGAAGTTGCAAATAGGTTATTTGAGCATAAGAAGAGCAAGAAACCTCCAGAGCCTGGCAATTTCTTCTCCTATGGCTTAAAGCCTGTGTTGACCCCCATCTTGAGTCAAATTGTCATGCTCAGTCTTGCTACAAGCGCTTCGCCATCATTGCGGTCTGTGAGAATGCAACATTACCAGGATAAATGACTGCAGGCTGGGGCAAACAACTCCACATAATATGCAGTCATTTTGGAACTACATCCTGCACCATGTGGGGAGCAGGTGGATGAGAGTTTCTATTCCTTTTCACTCTGGACACAAAGGACCAAACCTCTACAGAGCCATCTGTGAAGTTCCTGAAGTTTGCAGATGACTTCACTGTTATTCTCATCCATTGCAGCAGTTCGTTGGCCCACCCTTTCTCAGAACTTGAGATGGTCCTCAGACATGGTTGATGTTTTGTTCAGAAGAAGGCAGAGACCTTACATCCTGCAGAAACTTAAGAAGTACAACTTGTCATGGGAGATGTTGTGAATCTTCTATTCCGTCATTATTCAGTCTGCGCTTTATTTATCCATCACTGTGTGGTTTGGCTCATGAATTAATGTCTGTGGTTTGGCTTATCCAGAAAACAGGTCAGCTCCAAACCACAACAAACATTAAGGTCTGCAGAGAAGATCATACGTGCTAATAATCTCTTTCCAAAATTTCAATAGGTCTAAGTTCAGGACAAGAGCAGCTAAATTTCAATTTTTCAATAGTTTATTTGTTCTTTACATATAATATACAAGACAAAGCTAGAGCCAAGTCTATCCTCTTACAACAAGTCGCCAAAAAAGAAACAATTCAAATCATTACCAAAGGGAAAACACGACTACACAGTGCTTACACTATGTGTGTAAGAGCAGCTAAAATCTCTGCAAACCTGACACATCCTGTACACAAACTGTTCACTTTTCCCACAGTGTCGAGACAAAGAGTTTTTATCCAGGCTGCCTCGCTTTATGAGCCCTTAACAGAGTGCCGACATTGACACTATTTGCACTAATTCAGCCTCATTTTCCTCAGTAAAAAGACAGTTAAATATATGTATATATTTGCATTATTATTAATGTAGCTACGGTATTTATATTCTAAATGTTTCTGTTTTGAGCCGAAATCAAATTCCTTGTTCCTGATTCGGATGAACCCTGAAAAGAAGCGCAGTCTGAACTACAGTCTCGGATTTTCTCGCGATAATTTACTGTTTGACGCGACGTGTTTTGGAGCTAATCTGCTGCAGCGGCTGTCCGAGCTCGGCTGGTGGTGGAAGTAGAGCACCGTGAACAGAAACAAGGTTAGAATGCTGGGGCTTTTGGACATTTCATTTCAGAAGTGTTTTCCCATCTCCCAGTAGTTCGGACCTCCGAACTACTGCACAATGTTGTTTCGGTCAAAGTTTCACGACGTTCATGCATTTTGAGTTTGCTGCTCAGCAGCTTGTTGCAAGGGGAGTTTATAGTTGCGAAGTTGGTTCAGGAGTTACAGACGAATTTTAAATAACCATTAAATATATGCATTTAGTAGTTTAAATATCCTTCTTTGTGCATGCATTATAACAAGGTTTGTCAGTGATTTAACGCCATGTGTGCTTACGGACACACAAATAACCTCTTGCTCTGTTGTACGGGCTAGTCTTGATTTAACTCACTTGTACAATGAATAACTTAAAGTATTCACGCCCTTTGAACTTTGTCACGACTTGTGACGGTCCAGCCTCAGATTTAAATGTGTTTTTTTGAGGGGGATATTGTGTAATAAAGCCACTAAGCGTTCACGTACATAGTTGTTAATGTGGAAGAAAAACTGCATTTTTTTAAAAATGTTTTTATAAAAATAAATTAGAATAATGTGGCGTACAGTCATACCACCCCAAATTGACTGACCAGGCAAGGAGATCATTACACAGAGAAGCAGCCAGAGGCCCCTGGTTGCTTTGGAGGAAGAGTAGATATAAAGTTGAGGTAAGAGAACCCATCAACAGCAAAACATATCTGGTCTTTTTAGAAAGAAGGCCTAGTTTAGTTTAAAAAAAACAAAAAACTAAACTGAACTAGGATATACTAAACAAATATGCTATTTGTTTCTACCAACAAGTGGTATTTCTGCATGTATACCATTTGTTTGTAGAAAAATTTAACACTACACACAATCCGAATGGCAAAACACAATGGTAGAAGTATGATGCTGTGGTAATGCTTTTCTTTTACAGAGGCAGGGAAGTTGAAAACCAGTTAGAGGCAGTAAAGTAGTTGAAACCCAGGGCAAAATGTAGAGGCAGCTCGAGGTGGTTCATATTGACTCATGGTAGTTCATGCAAATCCATGTCAAAGAGAAACTGAACCATGTTCAGTATTCGCCTCACAGTTATGGGTTACTTTGATTGGGTCTGTCTAGCAAAATCCCCAAACAATTTAAGAGTGTGAGCCTTTTCCAAAAGAAACAACTATTTACTTAAGTTTGTTATTTTTTTTCAAGTAACCTGACCTCAGATTGGAGCATCATGTCCGTATTAAGTGGAAAGGTCCAGACCGTCCTGGGTCTTGTGGATCCAGACCAGTTGGGCCGCACCATGACCCACGAGCACCTGGTCATGAGCTTTGAGTGCAGCTACACCGCACCTCCACCTGGTGACGAGGCTGTGGCAGAAAACCCGTTCCAGATGCAGCACATGCACTGGCTCCGGCAACACCCCTACAGCTGCAGGGAGAACTTGTTCCTGTCACAGGAGCTAAGCGCCCTGCGGGATGAGCTGCTGGCCTACAGGAAGGCCGGTGGGGGCACAATAGTGGAGAACACCACGACGGGCATCGACCGGGACCTGCCTGCCCTACGACAGCTGGCCAAGGACACCGGGGTCCACATCATTGCCGGGGCGGGGTACTATATAGACTGCACCCACACTGAGGCCACCAAAAAAACAAGTGTGGAGAAGGTGAGTACTATCTCATGCATCCTGATGGTATGAGCTTTTCACTGTGTCTGTGTGTACAGTGTGAAAATGTATCCACCTGGCCTGATATACTATTGGTAAGCACCTATGAATATTAAAGGTATATGTAGGATATTGCTCACTTAACTTGCAGTAAGGACTGTGGTTTGAGATCTTGTTACATTATATTTGTAACTATATGCTTTGGGTTGTTTTTCTAGTAAAATGTGAACCTCTGCCACAGTGGGCAGTCTTCTCCACATCTTTATCTCTGACCTGTCTGATGTTTTCTTTCCTTTTCATAAGGCACTTCTGTTTTTACTAAAGTTAGATTGCACTCAAATGACTCACTTTGCTTAACAAGTGGCTTCTGAAATTTTTTACGCGCATCAGAGTAAAGGAGGCTAAATATAAATTCAGACTCCACTTTAAATGAATTAATCCATTTATAACTTTATGGTTGTAACCTGACAAAATGTGATGAAAAGGGGCAGGAATTATAAGTTTGGAGGACCGCTACTTGATATTGCTGTGCTGTTGTTTTCATCCATCTCACCTTCACTCAACACTTTGTGTTAACATGCAAAGATTTTCTCTGAAAGTTTGGATTGATTTGAATGGATCTCTGGCTGTTCAGTCTTTCTGTATTGACACATTGACAGTGTGCATTCACTCATATTAATATTCAAAACTCCTGCTCAAGTTCATGTCTGTTCATGGAGAGAAGAAGAGAAATGTCACTAACTTGTCAGTCGCTTGTCTAAAAGGGGATGTTTTCCATCTTTCACTCCTCATTTTCATCAGCTCACGGATAATATAGTCAGCGAGGTGCTCCACGGTGCTGATGGCACAGACATCCGATGCGGCGTCATCGGTGAGATCGGCACCGGCTGGCCCATCACGGAGAGCGAGAAGAAGGTGTTGAGAGCCACGGCCCACGCTCAGTCTCAGCTGGGTTGCCCGGTTATCATCCATCCTGGCAGGGACCCGGCTGCTCCAGCTGAGGTCGTCCGGATTCTCCAAGAAGCCGGCGGTGACATTAGAAAAACTGTCATGTCTCACCTGGATAGGTGAGAAGTTCATTAGACCCAGGTTCTGAAACAGGGCGTCCCACCGTATCTGCTGGCCAGTTTCCTTACCATATTACCTTCATTGCTCTCATAAAAAATCTACTAAAAGCTTATTATACTTTTAACTTTTCTTTTTCCTTTGTGAGTGTTTGTGCCACATACTCAACACATAACAAGAACTGTATACCCAAGTTTGAATTCACTGATTTGAACCAGTTGGTTTTCAGTTTAAGATCCAGCTTTTAACTTAAACCTATACATTTTCAACAACGTTTTAAGTCAGGCCTTGGGAAATCCATTTAAGAAACATGACATAGGCCTTTGCCCTTCAGCCATTTCCATGTTTAGTTATGGCACCATATTTCTTATGGCTACACAAAGTATGAGCCATAAGAGTCTGCTAAGGGCCAGTTATCCAAATATTAGTGTGAATGTATGTAATATTTAAATCCAATGTGAATGAAGAGAAAATTTATACTTTTACATCAAACTGTTGGTTTTTATAATCACTGTAGTTGTGAATTACCTAACTGTTCTAATTAATCATTTAACATCCAAAACTAATGACAAGAATGCTAATCAGAACTATATTTAAAGATCTGATCAGCAAAACATGCAGTTTTCAGTTGCACATTTCTGAAATGAAATAAAAAGCTGAACATGTAACTCGGATTATAACGTAAATAAGACATAGTATTGTGATGGCTTCTGTGATACAAATTTCAAATATTAATATCTAAATAAAAACTGCTTTGTTACCACTTAGGACCTTGCAAGAGTATGGTGTGAAATATAGCAACAATTTCTTCCGGATTCTCCTAAAACACGCGTCATCATGAAGCTAAATTAGTCAAATTTCCGCTTCTTTCATTCAGGACTATATTTGATGAAGGAGAGCTGCTTGAGTTTGCAAACATGGGGAGTTATCTGGAGTACGACCTGTTCGGAACGGAGATGCTGAATTACCCGTTTAACCTAAAAGTGGACATGCCCAGCGACAGCCAGCGAGTGAAAACGTGAGTGGTGCCGCTGCTCTCAATCAAAAGTTTCTCCTCTTTTGTAAGGGATCCAACATTCTTTGTTCAAATACTTCTAATTTAGTGCATTATTCTGCATTATCTGTTTTATGTCACGCTGTTATACTAAAATATGACGTGTATGCCAGTGAGCTGATTTATGTACCGTCCCAATTCCAATGAAGTTTGGACATTTTGTAAAACTTTGAGAAAATATATTAGAATTTGCAAATGCTTTTCAACCTTCATTCATTTCCATTTACTAAGATATTTAATGTTCAGATAAACTTTATCTTGTTTTTGCAAATGTTCACTTTTGAATTTGGTGCCTCCAACACATTACAAAAAGCTGGGATAAGGGCAATAAAACATTGGAAAAGTTGAGAATGCTCAAAATACTCTTATTTGGATTCTTCCTGAGATGAACAGGTTAACTGGAAACAGGTGAGTGTCATGACCTTTCCAAAAGTCTGAGTTATTCACAATTAAGGATGGGATGAGAGTCTGCACTTTGAGCAAATTGTCCAATAGTTTAGAGACAAACTTTTTCACCCACATTTTAGATTGTGGAAACCATGGATATTGTTTCCTCCAGGCTAAGAAGGAAAAGGACTAATGGCACAGACCAGTTCAAAAGCCATCATCTGTGATGACATGGTGGTGTGTTGCACATCTGTGAAGGCAACATTAATGCTTAAAGGTACATAAAGTTTTTGGAGCAACATATGCTGCCATCTAAGTGCCATCTTTTTCAGAGACACTCCTGCTTAATCCATTGTCAAGCCTGTTATAACAGTGTAGCTTCATAGTTAAAGGTTATGATTACTAGACTGGCCTTTCTGCAGTTCACACCTGTCTCCCATTGAAAATGTGTGCTGCATTATGAATCGCAAAATACTGCACTACAGACGCCAGACTGTCGTGTTACAAGTTTTGCATCAAGCAAGAATAGGAAAGAAATCCACCTGCAAATCTTCAGCTGTAGTGTTCTCATCTCCTAAATGCTTTTTGAGTGTTGTTAAAATGAAAGGAGATGTAACACCGTGGTAAACATGCCACAGTGCCAACGTTTTTGGAATGTGCTTCAGGTATCAAATTCCAAGTGAAAAAAACAGTGTATGAATTTGTAAATTACATAACTTGTCTTTTCTAAGATAATTCAGTTGAATATATGCTGATTAGGATTTTCTAATCATTGCATTCAGTTTTATTTATGTTTTAAATAAACTTCATTGGAATTGGAGCTGTCTTTATGTTTGCAATATGCAGACTTTACACTTTGGTTTTTCACATGCTTGTTGCTGGTGCTTTTCCAGTTTGGCTTTTCTAGTGAAGGAGGGCTATGAGGACAAGGTACTGATGGCCCACGACATCCACACCAAGAACCGTCTGACCAAGTTTGGCGGCCACGGCTACTCCCATATTCTCAAGAACATCGTGCCGAAGATGCTGACGAGAGGCATCACTCAGCACCAGGTGGACAAAATTCTAATCGACAACCCTAAATGCTGGCTGACCTTCAAATAAAACAGACAAAGGAATAATGGAAGCTGATTTGACAGAGCTGTGATTTTATTTTTTTAGCGTCACACAATGAACATTTTGAGATTATTACGATAATCACAACCATTTGTTTAACCCACAATGGCTAAACATAAATAGTGCTAGTAATTTTTTTCTGTGTTTTGTAAACATAATTTTGTACTGCAGATTGTTCAGATGAAGAACTTTTATAAATATGTATAAATATTTTAAATTAAATCTTGAGGTCTACTAATGAAGGAGCCAGTTTTCCCTTGACTGACTCTCATCGGTATTCGGCAGATCAAATACTGAGGAATATGACTTTAGTTTTCCTGTTTATTACATGTATCAAAGCTCAGTTGTCTTTAATGTTTAATAACCAACAAGATGCACTTCTTTATTGATTTTAACCAAAAACAGATATGATTTTTGATGTATGGAAGTGTTCTGAAAAAAGTGTAATTGAGGGATCTCTAATGTGGTGTGTCATTTACTTTGTGATTTTTTTCACTTTGTTGTCAAGACTTATAATTTCCCCTCTGTTTCATGTACTTTTTCCGCTGTGGTCTCCTCAACTGATTTAAATCAAAAATGCACTGATCTATTAGTCTATTGTAAATGGTAAATAGGCTGTACTTGTAGTGTTTTATGAAGTCCAGAGGACCCAAAACACTTCACACTACATTCAGTCATTCACACACATGTTCACATGCTAATGTTATGTTTATCAAAATCAGATGGGACATGTGCTTTTATGCATCAAGAATAAAATAATGCTGTTATTTTGTCCTAGTACAGTAATTTATTATTATTTCTTTTCATCTTGATCTGTCAGTTCTAAAATTGCCTGGTCAGACCTCAAAAACTCAAACTTGGTATTAGTCATCAAAAGCCTAATCTACAAGAAAAAAACATTTTTCTTTCCACTTTTTATCATGCATTAGTCACTTTGCAAAGGAGTTTTGCTCAATATTTGTGTTTTACATGTGCTTTTTCTTTTCTTGTTTTGGTCTCATTGGTTGGTCAATATTAGCAATAACACCAAACGGTCAGCCAGAAATTGGAATCAGCTTGCTATGGTTCTTAAGAAAATTTTTTTTTTTTAAACACCAGACAAAATCAGCAAATCAGACCTAAATGAAAACACACACAAATCTATCGACTATAGAAAACTTGATCAGTGCATCTCTTAAACTATTTGATTTGTATTTGTGATTATTAGTCATTGCATAAAGGAGGGGCTTTTTTTTTTGTTTGTTTGTTTTGGCCAGTTTGATTGGTCAAAATGCCAAAATATTCTCCCCTCTGATTGTATTCCCTGGAGAGGTGCTCACACATATGGTGCTACAGTAATTACCATTTTTTTAATTTAAACATCATCGCTACTCCTCCATTTGAGACATCTCTGTGAACATGCTTCCTGGCAGGTGAATAAATGAGTCTGCTCGTAATCAGTATGCTCCTCGGATCTCGTCTCCGTGTGCTTGTGTTAGATGAGATGTCCTGTTGCCCCCTCATTGGGTGTCTCCGAGTGCCTGTGGGGGAATGCTGGCGGGCCGGCCCAGATGAAGGACGCGTCCTTCCCTCATCTGGGAACAGGTGGCCTCACAGGGTGACTTCAACACATGATCAATGGTGAGATCGCCACAGCTGACTGCGCACCATGAACAAATACATAAGTTGGATTAATCATGTCAGGACGTTACAAAGGAAGCCAGATGATTTCATTTTACATTTTTACTGATGTTTCTGATCAGGGAAAGCATGAAGTTCAGTAAGCAGATTGGTGAATGTTTCAGAGTTTTAGAAAAGATGTGTCAGTGTCGCTGTCCAGTTTTGGTGACTAAACGGGCTACCCTGCTGCTCAAACCAGATGCCATGTTTGACACACACACACATGAAAAATGGCTTGCACTGATCATTTTGCCAATATACTTGTGCTTCATAAACATCACATCATTAGATGCTGCACAGTGTTAAAATGTCAACGTCTTATAAACATGCATCACGACTTTTAACATCTTTGCCCAAAATGCAGAGGCTTGGACTTTTTTTCTTTTTGGTGAAGAAAGCACATAAATGGACAAACACTGAAGTGAGTAGTGGTTATGTGGGTATATAATAAGCATCTGTGAGTAAGTGCTAAATGTAGACACTTGAAACTTTCAAATTACCACAGCAGCTACAGTTAGTTAATTCGTAAAGCCTATAATAGTTCATTGAGAGCGCACAAGCAACAAAACATCAACCTGACTTTGCTGTACAAAATGAAAACTGGAGTTATTACACTCTCAGCTCCTCACTGCTGCAAAGTAGAGTTTCTTTTTGCATGGCTTCCTGCAAATCTCTTGGAATGATGTTCAACAGAAACGGTGAGCTCTTTCTGTCTCTGATATCCCGGGTGGACTGAGCAGGAGCTGTGAAAGCAAGCTTATATGCAGGGAGTCGGACCCAATTCCTCCAGCCTGTTTCAGTCAGCATACAGCATGAAGCCGGAGAAGGTGCTGTACTTGTTGTTGTTGCCGCCGTGCGCCTTCCCTCCGTCCAGCTTGATGTAAATCTCATCCCCGGGTTCCAGGTGGAGGACGACGCTGTTACTGGCGTAGTCGTAGTTTTGGTCCGCGTCCTGTGCGATGGCGCTGGCTCTCACCTGAAAGGGAAGATTTCTACTGATTAGATTCAGAATCAGAACCATCAACATTTCTGATGAATACTAAAATTGTTTATCAATTTATATGAACATTTATCATCACCTTGATTTGTAAAGCAGGTGGTATATTGTGCGTAAAAGCGCATAAATTGTGCCGTTTTATGCTGAAGTGAAGTCCTGGTGACCCTTCAATAGATTTCACTCAGCAATCAGAACCATGGACAGTTCGATCAACAATGGCATGTTTCTGTTTTACGTCGAATTGTTTAGGTAGCGCTCGTGCGTAAAACGCAGCGTTTCACTTTAACTCGTGTTTTTACGTACAAGATCCGTTCAGATAAAAGGAGTCAAACGCTGGTTTCGATCCTACCTGGTTGTTTTTGCAGAGGTCGGCCCACATGCTTGTTCCATCCCCGCCCCGCATCAGCACATGGTAAACGAAGAAGTAGATTCCGGGTATGGAACAGGTGAATTTTCCGGTTGATGGGTCGTAGTGGTTGCCGAGATTTGTGACCACGTCGTCAAATTTTAAAACTTCATAGCCCTCATGCTGCTTCTTCAGCCCGGCGTAAAACGCTATCTTTGGCACCGTGTTGTAAGTGGCTGCGCTGATGGCACCGGTTGGTCCATTCGCTCCTGGTAGCCCAGGTGGACCTGGTGGTCCAGGTGGTCCTCTCTCTCCGGGTGGACCCGTCGGTCCCGGTGGCCCCGGCTCACCAACCGGACCCCTGGGGCCCATTCTGCCGACGCGCCCCGGCTCTCCCTGGGGACCCTGGATGAACGTCGGCAGCGACTGCACCAGGCGGTTGTCTTTGTTCGGGTGGGTCGCTTTCGCCGTGGCTGCCGTCGCGGTCCCATGGGAATCGCACACCATCTGACAAGATCCGAGCATCTCATAGCGGGCAGGAGTTCCGGCAGAGTTCACCATGACCGGAATCAGCACCACCAGCACCAGAACCAGCGCCACGCCGCAAACACCAGTTGCGATCATCTGCGCCCTGCGTATTCGCGGCGTTCTTCCAATTTGATGGTCTTCCAGCCTGCTTGCGGGCGATATAATTGCAGAAGAAAGAATTGGACCCGTTCTTGACTTGCACCGCAACCTCTGGAGGTGGTAAAGTCTTTAAACCGCTGCGCAAAAGTAACCATCCAAAACTTTTACGCCTTGGAGGATCGATCCAGCCGGCTCATCTCCACCTTCTTCAGAAGACTTTAAGGGGAGACGAGGACATGAAGACAGCAGCTTTCTGCAAGTTTCAGCTTATAGCGCGGAGCAACACAGAGAAAATGGGCTCAAAATGAAGCGCTACTCCTTTCTGGAATTGAAGAGTGAGGGGAGGGGTGGAAGTGATGGATGGGAAAGAGTCGGTGCGTTTCTTCAATCAAATAGGAGAGGATGAACAACATACAAACACTGATGCAACTTCAAAACTTTGAAAAAAAAGTTGCTTTGTTTTTTTTTTTTTTTGTCTAAAGGAGAGGTTTATTTTATATGGATCAGTTTTCCATTTGATCATTTCAAAGCTCCATCCTACAATATGTTGTAAGTGCTTATCCAAACAACTTCAACTTAATTAGGTCCATTTAAGACAAAAGGTCACACCTCAGTGGCTCCCTGTGTCCAATTTATCATTTGGAGAAAATCCATAGAGCCACTGAAAGGAGGAGAGGAGTCAGTAGTAGCTGGCGTTGAAGGATGACTCCACAGATATACTGATGAAACCAGTGCTGGGTCATTTACAGGAAAAGCTGGCAAAAATAACTTAATTATCTAGCAGTTAGCATCAAGCAGTGGCTGTTGGTTGAAAATGGGAGCCCAGATCTGATAAACCACAGGTATTTGGAATGAGATGAGAACAAATCATTTTATAACTTGCTCCATCTTTTTGTGACTTATAGCATTTTCAGCACAATTTCAACACAGATTTCTGGGGGTTGGGGTGGGGGAGGAGGGGCTATATAAAGAGTGCTCCAGGTTAGCTCACATTAAGAGGAATATGTACATTTTGTATATTAAATATAAACATCTCTGAATTTAAATTGGAAAGGAAAGGTGACAATGTGATGCACACATTCCTAAAGCGTTGATTGTAGTAGAAACTCAATTTTAAAAACTTTACGGGGGGAAAAAGTCTTCGTTAATTTGACTGAGACCAAGATAGAGCCACTGCTAAAACTTTAGGCTGTCATCTGATGTGTTTGTGCAGTAAAGAGAATCAAGCAGTTAGAGCCATACCTCTGCACTCTCCCCTCCATCCTGATTGATCTCATCCAACTTCTCATTAGGTTTTTGTTCTCTTCTCTTAAAGAGTTTTGCAGAGGAGCTGAAAGCACAACAGTGTATCACACAATGCAAGAAGAAACCCGTTTTCACAGAACAAAAATATTTAAAAAATACATATAAAAACAGCATTCTTATTGTTTTATTAGACTTTTTCAATATTAACTTTTTAAAATTATTTTATTTATTATAATTGACTTATTAGATGCTAAATATTCTCAACTCCTCAATTATGATCTGAGTTACACATTTTCCACACCATGTGCCATTTTGCTTATTCTAATTTTAATTTCATAAATAATGTTTTATATGTGTTGATCAATATTGTCATGGCTTGATCTTTTTGTGATACTAATCTCCACTGCAGTTCTGCTTTGCAGGCTTAAAACCTAGGCTAAAATGAAATACTATAAAGTAAAAAACAAACAAACAAACAGGTAATGTTACAGATGAAACAATAGAAAATTCCAGGCTGTAATTTGAGTAATTTATTGTTGAGGGGGGAAAATCAAGTTATTAAAAATAATTGGATGAGAACAAACTGATGTCAATATTGACACTCCATCCACTCTATTACCAATAACAATAATTATGGAACAAACAGAAAGAGGAGCATTCTGTTTCCACTCAAAAATCTAAATGTTGAACTTTGAGCAACATTTTGCTCAACAGAAGATAGTCTGCCGTCTCTCATTCAAAACTTACAGTTTCTTCCCATGAAATCATTCCTTAGTTGATCTGGATGCATTCTTGGACTCACTGTGATGATGAAAAATAAAATCCGTCTTCATCTTCAAGTTTCTGGCAGATAATTCAAGGTTTCGAACCAAAACACACTGTTTGAAGCGATGCATCATTTCATCCATCTTGGGGAAAAAAAAATTAAGTTCCATACAAATATATGGCGTGGACTTTTCTTTGCAATCTTCCCCTGACTGATGCTTTCTATAAAACGATTTGCTCGATCCTTTGCTACCGCTCTAGAAAATATGTGTTTGAGTTTTGGATGGACATAGGCAAATATCAAGAAAATCCAACTAGGACAGTTGAAGTTTAATTCAGGTTAATCCAATTCACCATCACCAACAACAGATGTAAACTCAAGGAACAATTTAAAATTGAAACTTAATTGAAAAGAGTATTACTTTAAGGGCCTAACCTTCATTAAAGCTTTTTATAAATTAGCTTTTTTTACCGCTGAATTAAACAGGACAAATGTAACATTATATGCATTAAAAACTTTGAAGTAATTTATCATGATCTGCTTTTTTTAATTACAATAACCCAATATTGTAATG